TTCGCGAGTCTTTTGATCTTGCCCACCTAAGCTATTTGCAGAGTGCACGATACATTGCAAGTCCCATTGCAACTTGCATACATGCCGTCTGAGAAGCAGCATCCTCATCCATATAAGTGGAAACAACGAGCGGGTTCGCACGCAGAGCATTGTCGTAGGAGATATGGTCGGTCCTTGGATTGGAGGGTTCGAGGTTCACGGGGGAATGGAAGCTGAGAACTACTTGTTCCAAGAGGCTTGTGCAGCTTCGGTCGGATTTTCCACATAATTCTTCCGCTCTGTATGGCTTCATCAGCAAGACCTCATTTACATTTGCTAAACATTGATGGTCTTAACAGCTATTGCCGCTTGCTTGTCGAGAAAGCGAGGGCCCAGGCCATTGAGTGCACAATGGAATAAGCAGTTGGCCTCCTGAAGCTTCCGGATGTTAGCATCGGAAAGGGTGGAAAATTGATTTCCATTGTTGACAGAGATCGCTTCTCTCATGCGCACGAGGTTGATGAATACTGCGGCTCGCAGCCTAAGTTGCTAGCAACATGACACTTTTCATCAAGCACTTCTTATCAGGCAGCGAACCATTTTTGATATGCGGCTCTGCATGAACATCGCCTGGCCTTTTGGAGGCTTCAGCCACAGTGAGCCCCATAAGCCACCGAGCCATCATCACACTCTCCTTGGCTTCGCTCATTGCAAGTTAGCTGGTCTGATGCAGGGCTGTGCATTCCAAGTTTCTGCTCCAGACAAATGTTTTTGTGCAATCGTCGGGAACTGTATTCGTTTCTTGTCGCCACCACTCAGCTGTTTCCTTGGATCTCGTAGACGTATAGTTATTATGGGCTATCTGAACCATTATGCCAAGTCTCAGGCTGAAAACCCTCCCGCGACTTCCTGACAGAACAGAACATGAGGTGAGAGCGAAGCGAGAGAGAGAGAGAGAGAGAGAGAGTGGACAGACAGTGTGCACATATCGACAAGCTTGCATGTCAAGACTCGCACATTGTGTTGCTTACACAAAGCAGTGAACTGCACATACGCATTCCGGAGCCGATCGTCTTGATCACTGCCGGCGAACAAGCCTACACCCGGAGCAGTCAGCTCGAGCAATGCCGAAGCCACACAGTCTGGGACCAGTGCTAGATCCAGCACGTGAAGCCAGTCATACATCAACAGATCGATGTGCCAACCAGGCATGCACACCCAAGCATTATCACGACACCCATGTTGTATGAACTCGGATGTTGTCATTCGCCTGAGTTTGATATTGGCACAAGCTGCACATGCATTATGTTGCTGCATATATGCGGCTAGGTCACGTTTGCCGATGTGCAGCAGCCGGTCCGTGGTACGTGTAAAGATATGGGGAAGTAGGATCTTTGGATGCCTGGCGGGCATTCACGCCGAAACCTCCCACCCTGCATGCCCCCTTGCACCTTGCACACAAAGCAAACATTCATGCTCGTCGCGGAATGGATGGTTGCATAGGCCTGCGGGTTCTCGCACAATATATATATATATATATATATACATGCATGCATTAGGCCACATGCAGAGGGCTTTGGCGCCTTTTGGATGTACTTTTCGTCTCCTTTGTGGATCGCCAATACACCCCGCCATCCTTCCGCGATAGGGCCCTTTCGCCCTCCTGCACACACACACACACTCTCTCTCTCTCTCTCTCTCTCTCTCTCTCTCTCTCTCGCTCTCGCCCTCGCCCTCGCCCTCGCCCTCGCCCTCGCTCTCGCTCTCGCTCTCGCTCTCGCTCTCGCTCTCGCTTTCGCTCTCGCTCTCGCTCTCGCTCTCGCTCTCGCTCTCGCTCTCGCTCTCGCTCTCGCTCTCGCTCGCTCTCGCTCTCTCGCTCTCGCTCTCTC